TAAAACTCATTCCAGGGGTATAGAAAAAAGTAACCTAAGCTTGTAAGAAAGATAACACTAATGTAAAAATTGTGGGCACAACCTCTAGATTATTATTACAATAATATAGATCACTCCAGGCTCTGTCTTCCCTGCTGGGCTGACAGACAGAACAAGGGCAATCCAGTCTCTTAGAAGGACATAGGATCCTTTAGATATTTTATCTGAGTTTACCAAGTACAATGAGGAAATGAAGTAGGAATACTAAATAATATTTAATTTAGATAAAAAATAGGACGCATTAAAAGACATCAACAAGGAACAGAGTAATCTCACAGATAATTGAGGTAGGTGTATTCTATCAAAACCCCGAAGATCTAAAAGTCAAGAGGCCCTTTGTACATATAACAGGCTCAACAGAATGGAGACTCAGCTCATGAGCCAAGGAGACCTCAGAAAAGGTTCTTTTATTAGGTCTATTTTTTTGGGAGGTAAGCATATTTGGGAGATGGCCTTGTGGTTCAATTGCAGCTGTTTGACAAGGTTGTTTCGAAGCCATTGTGACCTGGCAACTCGGAGACCCTGGAACATGTTAAAGCTGCCCGAGAAATGAAAAACAAAACCTTCCATCTCTGTTTATAATCCCCAAGGACAGTAATAGGTGAAATAAATACCCTCACTCCCCTCGCTCCATCGAAGACTCCCAAGAATGGATGGGTTAAGGCTCAGAGATGGGATAAAATAACACATGGGCTTAGACGTTTTTATTGTGTGTATTAGTTTCCAACTAAATACATATACACACGCTTTTTGGTTTTTGACAAGGTTCTGTAAAAATGGCCTCTGAACCAAACCAGCCCCGTTCTTTACACTATAATAACAATCTTCATCTCCAAGTAAACACACAGTTCTCTTTGAGAAAGGAAAGCTCTGTGTTTTTTCTTGCTGTGGGCAAGGCAAATAGATTTTAGAGGGCCCTGACAGTTACTTGAGAGTTTTCACTTCTGTGGCTTGTTCTTTTGAAACAAAGGAGGGGATTATAGCTATAGACTGAGGGGTTGTCATTGGATTAAGTGGATGGCCAAGGGGGGCTCTGCTATAAGAGAGGCATACAGAATTGAGAGAAAATGTTCTCTTTTGACTGTATAAAGGGCTTAGTCCTGGAGTCCTGAGAAATCTGAGCTTACAATCTCAAATTGAAAAAAAAATTTTTTTCTCTAAATTATAACTTTTAAAATTCAATTTTCCATAACAAATATTAAAATCAGAGACTGATATATTTTAGTACCAATTCAAAGAGAAGATTAAAATCAAAGAGAAAAGCACACATTCATTTATTTTGACACTGAGTATTAATAAAAGAATAATATTTGCAGATCAGTCATTTTATCTACCTCATTTAGTAATTATTTTTTTCATTTTAGTTTTGTCAATCTTGCTTTCCAGTCACAAAAACGAGTGTATAATTACATTGAAATTTTGCAAAGAAGTTAAAACAATTGCATAATACAATTTTGTTTTTAGTATTCTATTAAAGTCCTCAATTTTCATCCATGTATTTGGAAATATTCATAGGCTAGACTTTATCGGTCAAGTTTTTACTTGATAGAGATGAGAGAATGGGGCCACCAACTTCCCACCCTATATGTTAATATATGTTTCTTTGAATACAAATTCTTCCCCAACCTTTCTTCCCTTTAAGTCATCATTGTCTCTGATGGTACCATTCCTAGGCCATGCTATGGGTTCCTGTTCCCTATCTCTCCACATATAGTCCATGCAACACACAGCTGGGACTAGGGCTTTCCTACAATACAAATCTGATCCTTTCACTCTTTTCATAAGAAAAATGCAAACCCAGGGCCAAAGACACACACTGCAGGAGGGGAGACTGCAACAAAAGCAAAGCAAAGCATTTTAGACGTTCACAGATTTGTAGGCATTTGAGAAATAATAGTCATTTAATTAAAATCAACTGACACAACTCCAAAAATGTAAAATTCAGCCAAAAAAATTAAGGTGATCTTAAACCTGTAAACATCTTCAGCTCATTTCTTTGACCTCATAGGATGAGAATCTGTGGGGTGCTCATGTAATGGGATATCTGGACTCTATGTTAGGAAGAATATTCCTTTTCTGTGGGTGGAGGACCACGCAGGGCACTTGAGCCCAGTCCTAGTTTGGACCCTTCCCTCTCCTCGGTCGCCTAGCAGCTTTAACTTCACCAATGTTAATAGTTTATAACAGTTTCCCAAAACCATCCTTCTATTTAACACTTCAAAGATCTTCTACATGTTTTCTTTTTTCCCTCTGTAGAGAATTTCCTTACTTTCTGTCTTTGCCTAAAAAAATTGACGAATTCTTCAGAAGCTGGCTCAAGCATCATTACCTCATCTCCTCAAATTCCTTCTTCTGGGTCACCGTTTACCTTCAATTCATGCTTCCATATACTTAAGGTACTCTGCTTACTTGTTTTCATGACTTTGTTCTGTACTAGACTTGATAAGTCCTAAAGGATGGACACAAATGCTTTTTCTATTTTGGTATTTTCTTGCAGATTCCCCAGCACAAAATTGGCACACCACTAAATAGAAATTCAGGAAAAATGATTATTATCCACATCTTCCTTTTAGCTGTGACTGTTCCATGTTAGTCTGTCCCATGACTGTCCCACAATCCATCCCACAGCTGATTATCATTTGCCTTTTCAATTTTGTGTTCATCAGCTCGTTCCAGGAGAAGATCAAGGCCAGTGCTCTGCATCTTGACTCCAGATTTTAAAAATCCTGTGGCCCTCACTCTTAGGAAAAGCAGAAGAGGACACATTGCTATTGGGATTCAAAACAAAATCCTTCCACGAATGTAACTCAATTTGTTTAGGTGCCCTGGAGTACTGATGTTTGAAAATATGCAATGGCAATGAAATAGAGTATCAAATTCTGTAGGCAAAAAGCCATAGAACCCATATCCCCAAAATGAACCATAGTGTCTTCTTTTACTCACCAACTGCACATCTTGGGAACATATTTTAAAAATCTGATCTTGTTTTAAATCATTAAAGTATTTTCCAGTGTCTACATTACAGCCAGTTCTCCTTATATTATTTGTGATTGCAGCCTGTCATTGTGATCAGTTTTTTCCACTACTTAACTGAGTGTAGTATCATTTCTACTTTGCTACTGACTGATAGTACTGAGAAATGTAAGCTGTAAAACTGCAATCAAGAAATGTTAATAGGGGGTGACCATATCCTTTTACAGTGCCTAAAAGCTTAAGCTGTAATAATAAAATGTTGGCTTTTATTTCCTGAAATAATCTGAAGAAGAACTTGAAGGAAATGAAAGTAAAATCCAACTGGATTACAAAATTAAGGCAGAGTTAAAAAAAAATGCTTTGAGTACCAGAAGAAATCTAAAATAAATAAAAGATAATACATTTGAGATACTACAATTTGACCCAGACAATTGCTATAAAGTTGTGTAATTGAAGACTCCTTGAAGAATCTAGTAATGTGCTCATTGGAAGAAAACAGAAAAAACATTTTTTCCCTGGATACTCATGTGTATTCAACCAGCTAGCAGGATTGTAGAGAGGGAAAAATGATTCCTGGTGGTTTAGACACAAAGCACTAGAACAAAACCTTGTCAGCTGCAGAATGGTCAGACTAAGCAAAGCAAGAAAATTAATTCTTGACAAAATTGGTCTATGCTTAAAGACAAAGGGGACTCTATCATACCCTGGTACTGACAACCACAGGAAAAGGTAAAGCTATCTGGTGTAGTGATTAATTAGTAAGATGCACAGTAACCTATTCTAAGTGTAGCATTCAAAACCATGGATAATTACCACGTTTTTGAGAATTTTGAAAGAGTAAGGTGAAATCTCTTTTTAGTATTTGACTCGAGAGTTCCCGCAGAGGTGTTACAGAATCCTACAAGGTTGCTGAAAGGGGTAGACTTTCAATATGTCTAGTTAATAGTAGCAGAAAAAGTTTAAGGGAACGTGTCACATTAGTATGTTCGTATTAGTCAAGGTTCTAGCAAATACACAAAAATCATCCTGTTGGCGAAAGTTAGCCTTTAACCCATGTGTAGCAAATCTCAAGATGCAGAGTAAGTCATGCATTC